ACTCAGTCACCAGAGCCCACATAAAAATCTGGTGAAAAGTTAGAAAGCAAAAATTAGTCTCTCCAATGAGTCTCGGTGGGTAAGACAGCCGACCTTCCGGATCTCATATTACTTTGCTTATATACTTTAGTTTCTGATTGTGCATGTGTGTGTGTGGGGGGGTGTTTCTTGGGGGTTTGTTTGCTTATCTTTAAAGAAAGAGGGAAAGAAGAAAGGGCATGGAATTGGGTGGATAGGAAGGTGCAAAGGGGCTGGGAGAGTTGGGGAAGAGGAAAAGCGTGATCAAAATATATTTTAAAACTTTTTCAAAAATTAAGACTAAAAACATCTCTGGGGAGACAGTCAGGCTGATCCCTAGGTTTGCTGGCCAGCCAGCTCAGCCTACTCACTGAGTTCCAGGTCAGTTAAAAAAAAACCCTGTCTGAAAAGAAGGTGAACCACTCTTGAAAATGATAGCCAAGGTTGGCCTATGACCGTCACACAAACACAAGCACATACACACACAAGCCTTTGTGTTGGATGATTTTACCCAATTACAGGTTAACCTGCACGCCAAGGGAGGCTAGCCTAAGCTATGATGTTCATTAGATTATATCTACAAATGCATTTTCTACTTCCAATATTTTCAACTTACCATGGGTTTATCAGGCTGCAACCCCATCACAAAATGAGAGGCATCTGCATGACTTGGAGTATTAAACTCAATGTACTCCCTCAACTATTGTCTCCGTTCTCTTCAGAATCCATTCACCGCCTCAGCATGGATAGTCCTACCCGTGCAACTAGCTCAGACATGGAAACCCAGAAAGCTCCAAGCCTACAGCTTCAGCAATACTGACACTGTTGGTATCACTCAAGGTGTTCCCGGCACTCACAGTGCCTCCCGCCAGCGCTTTCCTCCGACTGCTCTCAAAGTCCCCTTACTCCACCAGCCATCCCTTTTGCTCAGTGTCACTCTCCTCTACCTCATCCCCACACTCTCCCAAAAGTAAACTTCCTCCGCGGTGCCCCATAACAAAGCCCTTGTTGTCAGGCGCACACTCTCTTCCTCTACTCTTTTTCCTCTCCATTTCTCGGAAGTTATCTTAGCTGCCAGTAACAGGGCTGGGTCTTATTCTTCTTTCTATCGTGACATCCAAGAGAAGAGTAACACACTGTACTAGTTCACCAAATTAGTGTTTAATAAATTATTAAGCAAAAAATGTGGAGTCACCCCAAAATCATTGTTTCTATCTCTGCTTAGAGAAGTCATACATAATAAATACTGTCTAGAAATAAAACTTCTAGACCTTTCCAGTCTCACCACTGCTACCCATAAAGTATGTCTGGCACGGACAGCAAACTAGTCTTTGAAAGCCCTAAACTGCTCACCGGTCTTACAAAGGGTCAGTTGCCCTCCCTGAGGAAATGTGAATGCAGCACTCACCCTTGCTGCTGAACATTACTAACACACCCACCTCACAGTAAGTGCCCACACAGCCCTAGGGTCCGTGGGCTGAATTTCATTCCTGCCTACATGAGGAAAATGGGTTTCTTACTTTTTCTTAGATTTAAATTTTAGCTGATAACTGAAGTTAGGTTTGCAAGGCGCTCAATGATAAATAGGCATATTATTATGCAAACCTGTATTTATGAGACAAGTAAAATGTATCTTTTCTAACATTGGAGAGCACTGCCTGCACACGAGGGAGCCTGAGAAAGAAAGCTGTACATGTCCTGTGGACTATGGATGGGACAGAGTGCAGACTGTTCTTCCCACAGAAAGGCCTTCTAGAAAGAATCTCATAAACTATGCTAAATGAAGATGCTTAAAAACAAAGACATATAGGAAATGGTCTGACATGCCCACATATTATCTCTGTAAAAGAAAACAAAGACCTTAGCTCTTTTAACGTGACCAAAGATGGTAAGACACAGCACCAGGTGTATTCCTTACTGGACTTGTATTTGCTTAAGTGAACTAAAAAAGTCACCTTATGTTTGCTTGCATTAATAATAAAAATAAAATGTGCTTTGTTTGCATTATTTTTTAGTTTAATTTTTTTTTTTTTTATATATTTTTTATTTTTTTTTTTTTTTTTTGTGTTGTTTTTTTTCTTTTTTTTTTGTGACTTCTTTTTTTTTTTTATTTTTTTTATATTTATTTTTTTGTAATTTATAGATTTGTGTTTTTTTAATTTGTTCTTTGTTTTTTTGTTTCCTTTTTTTTCTTTTTTGATTTTTATTTTTTTTTATTTTTTTCCTGTTATGTTTCTTTTTTTTGTTTTTATTTTGTTTTTTATTTATTTTTTTGTTATAGGTGTTTGAGTTTGTTTATAATAGTTTTTATTTTTTTTGTCATTTAGTTTTTTTTTTTTTTCTTTTTTGTTTTTTTTTTTTATTTTTAAGTTTTCTGGTTTTTTGTTTTCATTTTTTTATTATTATTATTTATTCTTTTTTTTTAAGTTTTTTATATTTTTTTTTCCTTTTTTTTTTTTTTTTTTAGTTTTTTTTTTTTTTTTTTTATTTCTGTATTTTATTGTTTTTTTTGGATTTTTAAATTTTTTTTTTTTTTACATTTGTTTTTATTTTTTTTTTTCTGTTTTTTATTTTTTTGTTCTGTTCTGTTTTTTTGTTTTTTTTTTTTTTCTTTTTTTTATTTTTCTTTTTTTTTTTATCTTTATTTTCTTTTTTTGTTTTCTTTCTTTTTTTTGTTTTTTTTCTTTTTTTTTTTTTTTTTTTTTCTCTTTTGTTTTTTTTATCTGTTTATTTTTTATTGTTTTAATATATTTATTCTTTCTTTTCTATGGTTTTTTTTATATTTTTTTTTTTACATTTTGTTTTATTTTTGTTGTTTATAATTACTTTTTGTTATTTATTTTTATCATTATTTGCTTCTTTTTTTTGTTTTTTTTTATTTTTTTTTCTTATTTTTTTTATTTTTTTATTTTTTTTTTAGTTTTTTTTTATTTCTAAAATTGATTTTTTTCTTTTCTTTTTTTATTTATTTTTTTTCCTCTTTTTTTTCTTTTTTTTTTTTATTTATTTTTGTGTTTTGTTTATTTTTTTTTTTTTTAGCTTTGTTTATTTTTTTTGTTTTCTTTTCTTATTTTTTTATTTTCTTTTTTCATTTTTCTTGTGATTTTTTGGTTTTTTTTTTAGTTTTTTTTTTTTTTTTTGTTATTTTATTTTTGTATTTTTGTTGTTTTTCATTTTTTTGTTTTTTTTGTTTTTTATTTATCTTTTTTTTTTTTTATTTTTTTTTCTTTTTTATTTTATTTTTGATATCTATATTTTTTTTATTTTTGTTTTTATTTTTTTTTTTTTTGTTTGTATTTATTTTAATTATTATTTTTAAAATTTTTTTTTTTTTTGTCTTTTTTTTATTATTTGTTTTTTCATTTTTTTATCTTTTTTAATTCATGTTGGCATCACTAAAGGTGATGGGAAAATTAAAGTGTTTGTAATAAGTAAAGAACACTTTAAGGGGGCGGTGGTGGCGCACGCCTTTAATCCCAACACTCAGGAGGCAAAGGCAGGCGGATCTCCATGAGTTTGAGGCCAGCCTGGTCTACAAGAGGACAGCCAGGGCTGTTACACAGAGAAACCCTGCCTCGAAAAACCAAAAATAAATAAATAAAAGTACAAGAATTCAAAATTTGTTGAGACAGAATAAAATAGTTACTCTGCGTCAGGAGATGATGGGCTGCGCTATGTGGGGCAGATTGGATGAACATTCCCTACAGCAGGGGGAAGTCCGTGAACTGCTGACCAAAGACCAGGAAAGCAGAAATCTGCTGGAGCCCTTTGAAGGAGGGCTGGTGAAACAGCGCCCCCTACTGGCAACTGAGCTGATGCACACGACTAGTTTTATAATGCAAATCTCACAGGATCTTCAGTAAAATCTACATCCCCTAATTTTTCTTAATGGAGCAGGGAAGGGAATGAAGCGCTGTTCCCCCACTCGAGCCTGGTCTAGCAGTTTCACAGGAGACTGGGAGCGCCAGACAAAGTCCACACTACACAGAAGGATCTGCATTTCCCCTGTGGGCAAGCGTTTGGACCTCAACAAAACCTGACGGAAGCATGAAAATCCTCCCCGAAACAGGATTGGAGTGTTTCACAATACAAAACTCAGACTACATCTGAACCTGCTGGTCCAAGTTATCTTCGGTAGGTAAATGATGACTCCCCTAAAGATCTGTAATGAGGATTTCCAAATAAAATTGCCTCTTAAACATTTTTTAAATCTTTCAAAAAGCTTCAGTACATAAGGATTCTTTCAGGATGTAGGTGGGTCCAATACAGGTTTTTTGTATTTTTTTTTTCACCAGAACTGATGTGGAGAGAAATTACTTTGGCTGAAGAACTTGAAATATTTACACACATTTATCTTCTCGCTTCCATGCTACTTTAAAATCATATAAATCGGGCTGTCTTCAAGTTCAGTTCTTTGCAATGGTGTCTCGCTGGGAATAGTACTTTTGGGTCCGACAGAGCAGGCTCCTGTGAAATGCATCCCCCTTCCAGAAGGTGGGAGAAGGCCTGACTGGTTAAGATGACAGCATTCACGGCACGAGCACAGAGCTATCTGGGTGTTGACCTTTATTTTCTCTCCAAGCATGGTTTCTTTACAGAAGAACCAAAGTCTTGAATATCACAGGCCACCCACACTTCACCTTCCTTTAGTGAAGCTGCCAGAGTCGGGTCACTACCCATGATGGTAGCCAGATACCATAACAGTGCCACCGGGGAGCCTATGGCCATGTGGCCCTCCCTAAAGAAAGTGCTTTCCTTGTGTTCATAAAATAAAATTAAACTGAAACAAATTTTCAGCCAACATTTCAAGACCTCATTATGATCATGTTTAAAGCACAGAAGTATAGAAGCTGACAGAGGACAATTCTCTACACATTTTCTACTTTGCCACTACAGTAAATGGGAAAAACACAGAATTCTCGAAAACAAATAACTTGAAATATTTATTTTAAAAGGTGACGTTAAGAAATAAAAACTAAAGATGTTGAACGATGTTTTCAACGGCACTTACCAACCACAATGGAAGCCTCACAGTGGTAGTAACCATTACTTTGCTTTTTCTTCAGCATGGAGCACAGATCTACCCGGTACAGAATTTCTTCTCCAAATCTGTGGTTGATGAATTGTTCATACAATTCGGGCTCTATTTTTTTCACTCCCTTGAAATGACAAAACAAAATCATGTCAATCAATCATCTTGCTGGGGCAGCCAATTCATATTTCTATCAGTCTCTCAGAACCCGAGACTACATTTTGGATTCAGGACTGCCCCTGGCACTTGAAAACAGATACCACAGAATCTCTGACAAGTTGTTTTTCAAGTCTCCACGCCTGGGATGGGCTGATTTAGAGCCATCAATTAAGAGTGTAATTGGATGTGGCAGCACTCGGGACCTCATACATCTTTAAGTTTCAGAACTAAGAACGTGTGTGATGATTCGGTCCCCAGAGCGACCTCTGAAACGACCGAGATGTGAGGGAACGGTCTTAGAATGACGCGTGTCCTGGAATTTCTGGCGAGGACAAAGCTCTAATAACACTAACTCGTATTATTTGAGCCCTTACATAAAAACCACCTGACGACAAACCTGATTTGAGCTGGGACAGTGAAGCCAGTAGCTTTTCTGCATCTTCCTCCACCTGCCTTTCCTCGTCAATACAGCAGAGGCAGCTGGATGCTGAACCATAGGAGGGGCTCTGGGAACTCCCGTCCTCTCCCAGCAGGAAGTAAGAACCCCTCCCCATCATCATGCAGGGTCTGAGACCTCAGCCTGACGCCCAAGACAGTCTACGAGTTTCACTTTTTCACTAGTTTTTACTTTTTAACTAATAAAAATTTCCCCGTTTCGTTTGCTAATAAAAATTTATAGAAAAATTTAAGTCAGGTCAGGAAATCGTGCGATTTTTGTTCTGTTTCATTTTTCCTATGCAAATGAAAATGACATTTTGCTTTTCACCTGAATATGGTTTTATCCTCAGTACTTCTTGAAAACCAGTTCCATTATTTCAGCAAGTATGCCAAGTCAAAAATAACACACAGATTTGCAAAATGCTTTTGCCTCTGTACTCCACTGTATCATGTTATTTATCCAATAGGCTGCTGCCCATATTTAAAACATGCTTGAGTTCTATGTCTACACAGGCCTCCTGTTCTTAACTGCTCCCCCCCACACACACTAACGGCTCTTCCCAACTCTACCTGCACAAGCTGAAAGCTTTGGGGGGTATCCTTGATAAAATCCAATACCCTTAGTTTTGGTGGAACACTCTGTTGATATGTATTAAGTCCATCTGGTTTACGATGTGATTTAACTCCAGACTTTCTTTGGTTAGATCTTTTTTCCAGTTGACCTATATAGAGGTTAGAGTCAGGTATTGAAATTACTCACTATCACTGCGTTGGGATAATGTGTGGCTTTAAAGCTAACAGTGGTTTTGTTTCTTTGTTTATAAGTAAAATTGGGTGTCCCTATTTCTAAAAAAGTTATGAGTAAATGAAACAAATTTTATGTCCTAAATGTGTTTTTCTGTGTGTGTATGCATTCATGTGTGTATGTGTTTGGATGTGCGTGCGTGTGTGTGTGTGTGTGTGTGTTTGCGTGCGTGTGTGTGTATGTATGCATGTGCATGGGTGCTTAGGAAGGTGGAAAGGGAGGGGCAATGGTTCCTTTGCAGACAACAGCAGACAAAGACAGCTCAGCACAGGTTCTTCAGTCCCAAGACCACAATGTCATCACTGAACAACTGTTAGGTTCTCATTTTCATTTTTACAAAGTGCCATTTTATTATGTTATTTACATTTATTCATTTATTTGGAGGGGCACTCCCTAGTGTACATTTGGAGGTCAGAGGGCAGCTCTGAGGAGTTTGTCTTCTCCTTCCCCATGTGGGTCTGGGAATTGAACTCAAGGTTTTGAAAGCACCTTTAGCCACTGATTCATCTCACTGACCCAAAAGAAATAAGAAAAATATAAAAGTGCCCATAAACTAATTTCCTTGGCTAATCAATTTTACAAGTGACAAGCAGCAATTATTTTGCAAGAATTCTTCACAGCTGACTTCTGATATACATTCTAAGGTGTTGGGTTTTATTAGCAAATAACATGGAATTAATTCCATAACTCATAACTTACACAGAAAGTACAGTTCAAAATGCATGATACCTTGGGAGAGCTTGAAGCTCTATCTCTATCAAAATAAAAAATTTAATAAAGAATCTAGAAAGAGATGAGAATATGCTTAATCTTACATATATATCAGAATATTAGCATAATCTTTGCTCTCCAGAGACTGTACTGGATGGCCTCTCTTTTCTAATAAACATGGAATTTATCTCACCATCTAGCTAAAGCAAATGATGTTTTTCTTTGATAATAAATGGACTGGTCTGTGTCAATAAGAAGACCCCATCTCAAAAACTAAATAAGTTAGTAAAGGAAAGTCATCATTCTGAGGAAATTGGTGACTATATCAAAATCAGGCATCACTAGAGGTAATGCTAAGAAGGATTCTATTTTTGTAAGGAACCTATAGGATTTCCAAAATAGCCTCAGAGGCACCACCATCCAAGGCTGCAGCTTCAAGCTGAAGTGACAGGGGTGACGTCATTCTATGCAGGCTCAGGACCACCAACTAACTCAGCTTTCACTGTCACAGGCCGATCCCCCCCTTCCCAAGGCGCCCTGATGTCTAAGGTAGAAGACGGTGTGAACACGTCAGGAAAGCTCGAAGAAAAGCCTCAAATTGCTAATCCAGGAAAACGCAGCCTATGATAAAAATCTGAGTGGAGATTGCTTCAAGTGCAGAAAGTCTCTATGAGGCTATCTCTAACAATTCCACGCTAAGAGTTCTGTGAACTTGGTGCTTTAAGTGAGCTGGATGATAGTCTAATACTCTTGTTAAGGCTATTTTCCTAGATGTTAACAGGGATGGTGTATGTCTTAAGGACTTCAGATATGCAATGGTGCTCAGTATAAGCACCACATTGGTCATGCACTATAACACTGAAAGGAATAATTGAAGTTAAATACAGGTGTTTTGAGGTAGATATGACAAACATGCATTGTTTACATGTATGAAGTTGTCAAAATAAAAAAATATTCTATTAAAAGTACATGCCAGATATTATATTTTGAAGCGATTACCTAGTGGAAATAGATATCAAACCAAAAATTTTCAAGGCTATCTTAATTATCAGAGATGACTCAAGTTTGCTTCCCTTTAGCCTCCTTTGAGCCACAGTTGGAGATGATCAGTGATGGTCAAAGCCATTTGCTGGCCTTTGGTGCAGCCTGCCGTGAAGCTGTGAGCCATCTCACCGGATTGCAGCTTGGCACCCAAACAAGCCAGCTCCTCAGAGATGCCAAGAGAGCCTGGCAAGTACATTTAGAATTATCTGATGGCTGAATCTGAAGATAAATAATGGAGATTATTTACTCTGGAAGCACGCACAACATCATTTACATCAACTCAATGATATGCATAATTTAAATGTGCCACAGGGTGTTCAGGCTCAGATTACCCAGCGTCTAGATCTGTCTTTAATGCAGTTAGGGACGTGGAATGTGAAAATTCACATTAGCTCACAATCTGTGACAAAGTGACCGTGTTCAGAACAAGGAAACAGTCATTTTATTAGGAAGGTTAAGAGAGTGTTTGTAACAGATGGTAACTTCTTATTGTTCTTTGTTATAATAATCACAATTTACACAAACAGCCTGCAGATAAAACAAAGGAGGGCTTTGTCCTACTGACAACAAGCTTAACCTTCAGGGTCTCTGCTATGTTTTTCAACAGTTTATTACTGAATAAAATGAGCTTTCATAGAAATACATGTGACAATTTTAAAAAATCCTGACACAAACCAAAGCTAAGAATGTAAATTAAGAGGCCAAACCAAACTAGTCTAATCCTTTTGGCATTGGCTGGTTAAAAGGCAACCATTGCAACTATACTTCTCAGGAGTAGGAGAAGGCTGGATTGTTAAATACATATGTATATATATAAAACTCAAAATTATAAAGACATTAAAATTACCATAAGGATTTGAAGGAAACCTCGGTTTAAAATTCCCCATCACCCCACCCCTCTTACTATAGCTACAGTTTCTGATGTTTATCCACTGTGTTGCATCTGCACCTTGAGAGGAACCACTTGCTGGTCCCTGGTACCTCCTCAACTTCTTCCATTCAGAACATCCGAGCAAGCTCAGGTTCACCCTAGCTTGTGACTGCCATGAGAAGACATGTGTCTTCATGGCCCCAGTTACTGGCTCAGGACCAGTGAGGGAATTCTGGATCCAGCAAACACAACCAACCACCCTGGGCAAAAATAGCCTTGCTGTCTTTTCTTCCTGTCGCTCTGGGTCAGGCAATGTAGTTAGTCCTCCACCGACCATTCCCATTTCCTGCTTGACCAAGGCCCTGACATCCCGCCTACTAGTACCTGTCAATAAATTCACAAGTGGAAACAGAAGGAGTGATGAAAACAGACAAAATGCTGCTGCTTTATTATTTTAGCTCAGTCTGCAAACAATGGTGCCTCCCGTCACCTAGCAGTAGTAGAAAATATGAACTCAAAAAGTAGCCTCTGACATGGGTAGGGAGAGCACCCCCCACCTGTCTGTTCCCCTCCCCCACCCATCAACACTTGAGGCAGCGGGGAGAGCTGTCCCCATGACTCATCTGTCAGTGGCAGTGTGGGCGGCAGAGAGATTCTCCCTCACCAAAGCCTGAGAAGGGAAGTGGGAAAGCTGTCCCATTATTCACCTGTCAGGAGGGGGCATGAATGGAGGAGAGACCCCACCCTCAGATGGGAGAGCTGGCCCTAAGGGCCTAAGAGCAGGGGAGCTATCCCTGTCCCTCCTCAGTCGCTGTACTCACAAGAGTGGCCCCTCCACCGTGACTGGGCTACACAGTAGAGCTGGCCCTGAAGGTGTAGGTGTGGGAGAGCTCACCCTGAGGGTGTGAAAAGGGCAGAATTGGCCCCAGCCATTACTCATAGCTGCAAGGGGTGAAGTAGCCAGGATACTGCTGGCGAGCTCACCCTGATGGTGAATACAGGGGAGAGCTGGCAGGCTCACCCGCAACTACCTAGGCCCAGAGCCAGGGTTCTGTGTCGGCCCAGCCCAGCAGCCACCCCATCTGTGATCTGCTGGGAC